TATAGCCTATTTATGCTAATCACCAACCAGATGTAGCTTAATTAGTTCTCAAACACAGAGAATATCTCATGCAACAATTCAGTGACCTAGGGCTAAACCCAAGATAATCCTACAAATGACTGCAACCTTCTCTTCCATATAGATGACCTAATTCTTGCATATATGTTGCTGTTATATTATACATGGACTGATAGTATCCCTGTGTGATATGCAATATCGCATAAGTCTGCAGTTATTACAGTTCTTTACTCCTTCCTTATATTCATATATGTCTGCCCACAAGTGCACACTCCGAAGCAATCACTTGATTCCTAAATTTTTATTCAATAGTTTCATATGGAAAAATAACAACCTGATAATTAAATTCACTAGAAAATCAACATGTTACATACCATGACTATTTAAAATAATCTATAATTGAATACTGATTAAAATGGATATTAAAAAAATTGCATAAAATGGATGTTACAAATAAAACTAATGTAATCTAGGAATATCATCATTGATTAGCAAATTTGTATCACAAGGCATGCCCAAATGGGGAGGAATTGTGATAAATTTGTGAAGTACTTCTAAACTAAAGAGTGGTACATAGGTCATATAGTTGATGAAATATACTGAGCCTGTCAAATCAAACAAATTTTCAGCTTCCTCTTCATCAAAGAAAAGGAAATGGAATAAAAAGTGCATGCCATGGACACAGTCAACTGATCAATATTCGATTTTTAAGAGTATAAGTGTTGCCATACTATTTTTAATATACACTATTTATATTTAGAATGTAAACTAATGAAAGTATCTGGATGATGAAGATATCTGAATATCTACACATATAAAAATTGTTATTACTTGCTATTGTCAAAAATATTAAAAATTCTTTGGCTCTTCTTCCATGGTTATTCACAAAGTTTGTATGAACTGTTAGCACATAAAAACACTTAGTATTTGAAAAACTCGAAAATACCAAAATGTTTATTTTTTGTTTATGAAGCAGTAGATAGCAACAACTGATAAAGAAATTTAAACTAGAATCCTTACTTTTAAAGTATTTGTTTGGAAAACAGGTGTACTTTTATGTATTAAAAACTGTGAATTTTAAGTAAGTACCAATTATGCAGTCAATAGGAAGCTATAAGTTTTATAATTGCGATTTGTATTCTGCAAACTATTTCGATATTATGAGGTGAATGAGCCTTAAGGCGAGTTGCTTATTTTAGTTATTATTTCCAGTATTAGCAGTGACACTGGCATTTTGGTTAATATGATTCCAAAAGGCAAAGAGAAAAAAATGTATGTGGTGTGGACATACTCTGCTGATCAATGTTTACATTTACAAATAATGTTTTCTAAAATGACAGTGATCAAAAACAGTTTGAGAGAGACCCACGAACAGTAAAAAAAGTGTAATTCTCTCCATAAGCTAGCATCAATATTAACACACACACACACACAAACAAACAAACAAAAAAAAAAAAAAACTTGAGACCGATCTTATTGAAAGGGGGATTGAAAACAAGGATTGAAAATTGACAGGACACAGGTATGTTGGCTGGTCATTTTAAAATGATGCATTATTATTATTTATTACTAAAGCATTATTTGATTTTTAGAGAATCAGGGTCTTATTAGTATACATGAATGCACAAGAGGAACGTACTTGTAAGTGTAAACAAAGATCATGCAGTCCTTGGTGATACAACAAATCAACCGTTTACACATCACCTTATTAGTTAGAACAAGAGTTCCCTTGGCCCATGAGATGATGAATGCAATTAATGAATTAGTTTCTTCATGAATGACTATTTCCTGCATCTTATCACTGATTCTAAAAAACAGTCTCTCTTCCTCCCTTTTTGTGGACTGAATAAGCAGTAATCATAAGCCAACAAGCTGGGGTGTATAAAAGAATGCAATAGAGAAGCTGCCACTGGAACTGCTACAACAGACCTCTACAAATTGTTGCCACATAAGGACATTGAAAACTGATACACAGTCTATAGTGAACTGACGTTCCAAATTTAAGACCAATAGCTCCTTTTGGGCTTGGGGGAGGGAAAAGAGGTGGAAAGTGTGTCATCAAATAATAATGTAGGTATTGAATAAGTAAATGCACTTATATATTTAGGTGGCATTTAAAGAGTGGTAAATGTAAGAAGTTGTCATTTGCAGTGCTGAAACAGTGCAGCTGAAGATATATATTTATATTATGCTTCTGATATTTCTGAAGATATGGTGAGACATGTTTGGTTAGAACTTCACTTCCATTTTCATGTCTGCCATATTAAAAATGATGCCTGCATCAAACTCTTGTGATTGTGAAGTATGAAACTTGCATATAATATTCTTTCTCTTCATATAAATATGGTTTTGGTATGTCATTTCATACAGGAATCAACAGCATTTTATTTTGCATCATTACTTCTGAATCACTTTGCATGTAATACCTGCAACATTTTTGCAACTCTCAGTTGTAAACATGTACTTTCAATAAAAAAATGGTAACTAACATACTCATATTTTGACAATTTCAAATTAAAAAAAAATGGACAAACTATGAAATTTAACTTTTTATGTGGTCCCCTGATTTTTATATTAAGAAAATTTTATAATCAGTATAAAAAGCACAATGAAAAAAGTTTGATTCTCCATTAAAAAAACTGAATAAGATAATTAAATTAAAAATTCATGATTTTTCGTGCCATTTCCACTTATCATGACAAACTGGTTAATAAATAAATTAAAATAATTCAAGGTAGATTTTTTCTGCTTTAAACGTTATTCAATGGTACTTTGTGATTAATGAATGTGTAATATTCTTTAACTTGTAATTTTGTTACAACTGGTATGTTGAAAAAATTTTCACACACATAATTAGCTCTGAAATGTTTAAAATATATTATTTTATAATACATCTTTAACATTTAACTCATGCAATTTTATTACTTTAACCTTTGAGTGCCACTTTTTTTTTGAAAACCTGTATTTAAATTGCACTTACTAGCTCAATTTGTATAATGACCTATTTTAATCTCCTTTTTCATAAATGCCGATTCATTAATATACTTACATCATTAAAAGATGATATTTATCATCATTAAAGGAACATATTTTAAATTATAAACTAATATATGCCAAGTTATAATAAATATCCTGATTAGATAAAGGTGGTCATACTACTCAGAGGTATAAAATTTAAACACCATTAAAAAAATTTTAAAAAAAAATCAATAAACTAGAACTATTTCCAGTTTATGCAAACAATGCTCTTAGTTGCAGTATAACAATACTGGAGCCTGTCAGTGTTTTCTAGAGCAAGAATTGTGTGAATAAGATTTTTTTCTTTAAATATTATATTCATCATTACTTTTCACAATAATATGCATTGGAAATACAGTCAAAAGTCGTTAATCTGGACTCGTCGGGACTTCGGCGATTCCGGATTATAGATAATCAGTTTAAATCTCGTAAAATGGCATGCAGAAATTCTAAAATTAAAAATATGAAACCCTAATTTATGAAATAAAGAACAATTATGATCTAAAGGGTATCAAAATTTACAAAAAAAAAAAAGCTTAATATTTATTTGTTTACTTTATTAAACATTTCTTTCAATGTAAGTTGTTTAAGTTGCTTCATTTTATGTAATAATACTTTCTTTTTAATTCTATAAACAGACATAATTTCTTGTTCAGTTACAAAGTTCCGCTGTTCAAGTCCCGTTAATTGCTGTGCCTAGAATACCGACTAACTTGTCAATCGAAATTTTTTCGTTTTTACTAACCTCTCGGTCACATTCTTCATGTTTTTATCCATTTTTTGCAGCAATTCCACTTTTTGTTTGTTGGACATCGAAACATACTTTCGTTTTGTAGATCCTTTGGAAGTTCCAGCATCGGAAATTCTATTTGACATAATCGAAAGTTCAAGTTTACTTTTATAAAATTGCTCTTACAGTCTGCAAAAAATAATAAGCGGGATCCAATTCGAAGATTAAGAAACAACGCAATCATTAACATTAAGTGAAACAGATAATTAGATAATTTTAGCTTACACCATCCGTTATACATTAAATGCGCAGGTGAAAACGTATTCTGCACTTGCGCACACGCATATGGGCAGTAGTCAAGGTCTTACGTGCACGCGTAAAACGCCTGTGCGCATGTGCCAACGCGGCGCATGCACAGAAAGTTTTTCGCTTTGAGGTCCGGATTGTAGATCATTCCGGATTATGGGTGTCCGAATTAACGACTTTTGACTGTACTTGTAACTTAATCTATTAACATCAGAATGTTTTACTTAACACATAGTTTATTGTTAGTTACGTATAAACGTTAATATTTTGCTCTTCAATTTGTGTATGGCTTCTGAATATACAATTTAAATATTTTAGCCAATTTTTGACATACGGGAGACACATTTTTTTCCTATTGTGCTTTTATAATAAATATAATATTTTCCTAAATATTAGTGCAGAAGCCAAAGGAATTTACAAAAAGTTAGATTTCATTACTTTTACAAAATTAGTTTTTTTATTTGAAAATGCCCAAACATGAACACTTGTATTATTTCAAAAATTTTTGTAATTAGAATGTCTACAATCAGTGGTTTCTAAAATAAAGGCTAAGTAAGGATTTTATCTCAATGCATTGAGAAAATGTGCATTTTGAATAACAGAATCATACTGATATTTAAGTACTGCTTTCATGAAGCATTCTAAAATTGTTACTCTCAAAATGTAATCTTAAAATTTTCTTCAAATGAAAATTAGTATTCTCCTAAAATCTGTAACTGAAATATCCATTATTTTTTACATTACTGTTCTGCAATGAGATAGAATATTTTAAAGCTTGCTTTCTTCATTGGGAATAATAATAGCTGTGGAGATGGTCATTACTGCATAATGACTGTCAGATTACCAGTGTGATGAGTGGTGGTAAGTAGCACATCTGACTTCTTATAATGATTAGGTACATTTGTGAGGTTATGTAATACTTGCTGCATTATTGAACTCAAGACACATTTATTACAATTACAAGAAGTTCTTTAAATACATACATAATTCATGGATAGCATAAAATGATAATTGTAATGAAATAATAGTCTCCTCATGCCATGAGAAGCCTGCTAGCCAGAGGGTCTATCTAGTCGAGAGTTCAAAGGCATTGTAGGTCTCTCTATTTGAGAGTTCAGGAGTAGTCTAGGTCTTTCAAGTTGAAAGTGCAGAAGCCTTCTGAGGTCCTGTTCCAATGAAAAAAACCTTCAGACTGATTTTGCCACGTCTCCTTCATTTTTCTGTTGTATTTTACATCCTCTGACTCGTTATATCTGGAATGATATCAGAGGAAAAACAAAATGATTGGTTCGCCAGCCCTCCTGAAATCAAGAGGTTTTGATGACAGACACAGTGCAGAATGCTAAAATCTCCTGACACTAGTCGTGAAGTTATGTCTTTTGCACTGTCAACTGGAACAAATCACTGCATCTGCGATGTCACAAACATGTTGTATGACACATCGTAAAAGGCTTGGAAACTGTGACTTGCGGGAACCATACACATGGTTTCCTTATCTTTGTGTGGTCTGCCGCAGCTATAATATACAGCAAGAAATGAGATTACATAGCTTATTTTTTACACTTATTTTCTCTTAGATACAAATGCAAATTTTTGCTACATTTTTTTAAAAATGATATTGATCATTTATTAGAACAGTATTATAAAATATTCTTTATTGTGCCAGCTTTTTTTTCCTTTTGATTAATTTTTTATTAATGATGCAGCAAAGAAATTGGATTTTTAAACCGTTTCTTTTAAATATTATGCTTACATTACTGGTCCATTTTTGCCACCGATGAAGGGCATTATATGACTTATTCTTAGTTTTCACAGTGTAGTTTTGTTAATTTAACTTAAAATATATTATGAAAAATTAAATACAGCCAAAAATAGAATCAGCATCAATAGATTATTTTAGTGATTTCTTTCATTTTCCCTCAAACATTAAACTGTAAAACATGGATATTTATGATTGATATATAAGCAACTGTTATTCTTATATAAAAAGCACACTAGAGTAATGAATCTAAACTTTTCAGGTTAAACTGCCAATTCTAGTAGAGATACACTACCTCACAGTAAATTATTTATGTGATTCAATAACACACAGCATTTAAGGGGGTTACTCGAGAAAGGCAATAAATATATTATTCCAATAGCAGCTTGTTTCAACTTATGATCTTTTTTCTTATTCTTATTATTTACATTTAACAACATCGATAAGTGAATCTTTGCTTACCTTTCTTGATGACTATCTACAGAAATGCTTGGAATTCCTTTTCATTTTTATCACACAGAAGCTTTATTTACAGCCATGTACAATTGTCTGCTTACATTAGAACATTCATCATGTTTCTCGGGTTGCTACTACATCTATCTCAAAAATTCACAATGCGGTAAGAAAAATATAACAAGCTAAAAGTAAAAAACGCTGCGCCCTCTCGTGGCCAGCTACATAAACTGTAACACAGCTCCATGAGAAGTATACATGAATTAAAAAAAATTAAAACCTTTGTATAGCTTGTTGTACATTTCTGCATAGTAAGCACAACTACTGGTTAATCCACATTTACATACTTATATGATGATTATTTCTTTTTTACAAATTTCATGTGCTTATTTTTCATTCAAACTCACGATTTATACTCATAAAATTTGCTTTTGTAATATGATGGAGCATTTGATTTAAATGCTTTATTAAATGTTATTTTTATAAATGAAAATTTGAATACTGTTATGTGCAGACACATCAATTACTCAAAATACATAAAAATATTATTATACAAAATCATTTTTATTCTGAGCATTTTTTCTTCTTTGAAGTTTTCTTATTTTTCAATTTTGTCCTTTTCCTTTTTTTGAGTTCACTATGCAAATGTTCTTGATTACCATCAAGTATACGTTGTTTTCTTGCATTTATTTGCTTTCTTTCTTCTGTGTCTAAATCTTCAATAGAAATATCGGCTTCTCTCCATGCAACTTCAACTTGTGTTAAAATACTGAGTATCTTTTTTTCTGAAAAAACCATAAAATTCCTAAACAATATAAAAAAAATATAAAATGCATGGAACAAGGTTTACATATCTTAGGAAACAAGACACGTTTTTTAATATTTTGACTGCTACACCACTTATATTTTATAATTATTCAAATAAATGATGGTAATGTTGATTAATAATGCTAAGCAGGTCTTCAGAAGGCTTTTCAACATGATATAATACGAGTGTCAAAATAGTAGCAAAATGATATAAAAACAGAACATTTAATGTTTTTTTAAAGAACTTTCTTTTATTTTATTAAATTTTAAAACCTTTTATACACTGCTGAGCTTGATTGGCAAAATATTACAAGCTCCTTTGTTTTCTTTTGATATGCATGTCTAAAATATGTAACTTTTTTTTAAATGTGAAATAATTAGAAGAGAAACACATTAATAAAAAATTTTAAATTAAGAAAGAAAGAAAAAAAAAAAAAAAAAAAGAGCAACCGTAGTTTTGCATAGATTTTGAATAACATTCTATCGATTTCTAGGGTAATCAGACACAAGTCTCGTTTCTCTTCTTAAGGGGTATCAGAAACTCCTAATAAGTAAGCCATAAAAAGTTTAGATACTTATGAGCAGTAGTCCTGAGAAAAGGTACATCGAGTATAAAAAAAATCACGTTTGGAGAAAAAAGCGTTTTTATGTAAAAATCCTCGTTGATCAAAGCAGTAGATGACAAATTAAAACTAGATTTTTTTACAGTTCTAATTTTCATAGAGATTAAAGAATGATATTTATAGAAAGATAAAAGTGTAGAGAATTTGAAAATGCAAAAATCCAAAATCACAATTTTTTGAAGATTTTGGGGTTAGAACACCCCTTTAAAAAAAAAAAAAACTCGCCCCACTTTTGTAAATGCTACCAAGAATGAAAAATTGTAAGAAAAATAAAAAAAATTGCAGAAATATTACTTTTTTTTAAAGAAATGTTAGGAAATACACTACATTTAATAAATATCTACAGCATTTATAAGAAACATCAGCAGAATAATACTTTTATGATAATGAAACAATAAAATATATATTATTTATTAGATAAATTTAATAAGTTTAACGTAATTCACTTTTACCTGAAACCTTGAATTCAGAAAGCTGAGTATGAATTTCTTTTTCAATGTTTTTCAGGGCAATAATATCACCAGGCATAACAAATGTTATAGCAAGACCTCCTCTTCCTGCTCGAGCTGTTCGACCAACTCGATGTATGTAATTTTTTGGGAAAGGAGGTACATTATAATTGATTACCAAGTCAACCATTGGAATATCCAAACCTATGTATATATAAAAAGCATATAGATTTTTTTTTCTATCATGAAACAAATCTTAAAATTTTGCACTAAAACACATTATTACAAATTGGTACATTATTTACAGTTATCATTATTGAAATGAATTTTATAGTTAATGATAAACAGTCAAGTTCAGAACATAGATTTAATTAATAATTCCAAAAATGCATTAAAATTAGAGATGTTTATTAATTGTAAATTCTGGTTAGTAGAAAAAATAAATCAGTGCCTAATGCACACGTTCCATCTGCTGTGAGTACAGGCCTGCCGTGATGGTTTGGCCCACTGGCAGGAGCTCATTAGTGCACCACTTGGTGACTAGTCCACCAGATACAGAGCATGATCTTGCATGGGTGGAGAGAATGTCTTGCAGTGTGAAGCACAGTGTCCTGTGGCGATAACTAATGTTTGGAACACCTATGTCTGTCACACTGGAGCCACTTTTCATCGCTGGTCAGTACTCTATCAAATATGGATGCATTGCGATGGTGAGTAGGCAATAACAAACAGGCAGTGACACACTGTTACATTTTTGCATCGGACAGTGATTGGGGTACCCACTTTGCTCAGCTTGTATGCCTTTCCTATGTGGTGCAAATGGAATCAGATACCTGGAAGTGTGCAGCAACTTCACCACATGTTTGGCGGCTGTCACTCTCTATGGCTGCTCTGAAGGCCTCATTGTCCAGCAGCCGACTGATGCGTGGTGTATCGCTAAGAGACATTTTCCTTGACCTGAACTTCTAGAAACATTTGCCTAACAGTCCATTCATTAACAGCGTCATACCCAAAGGCCTGGCAAACTTGGCGACTTGATTCTGCTGCTGACAGGCCCACTATAAAATTATACAGCAAACAACTCCGAATTAGCACCTTTGACACGTCCATTTCAATCAGTCGCTGTGTGAGTTATGTTTTAAGTACCGATGCAATGTCCTTTTATACTCTTGGTTAATGTCCGGCCTCTCATCCCAACCACTTCAGTGCCAAGTTGGCGACTATTTTTATGCTGGGGTTCCCTCTTCCAATGTCATATCAGAAATGGCAAGAACTTTTTTGGTTACCTAGTATTAAGTAATCTGGAATTGATCACATTGTTGAAAAGTTAATATTCCATAAACTTTTGAGATGCATATATTTCTACATTTTTATTTTTCTAAAATACAAATTGTTATTTTATTTGAATATTTACTGGAATGCAAGTTGCATGTGATGTAAATAAACAGATTTTCTATTTGGTGTCGGTGTTCCTTTCCATTTTTCTGAACCACATAATATAGTACTTGAGTCTATAAACTTTTGGGACACAGATTAAATAGAACCTTTTTTTTTATTGCAGTCATCTAGGTATCCCTTCATCAATGGAACAATGTATTTCCATTTATCTCCAGCTAAATAGATTTCATGCAGGGTTCTAAAACTTGTTAAACATTGAGCCATACGCCTTGGCAAAAGCTAGTGTACATTATGTTTTTTAGTTTTTTAAAGTTGTAAATCTTGGTTTATTATTTTATTTACTGTTGGAGCAGATTTTTAAAGACTTTGAAATTGAATTTTGCATTGCAAGATTTTTCTCTTATTACCAACAACTACTGACTTTAGAACACTGAGAAACTGAACAACTGAGAGTTTGAACAAATGAGAAACATTAGAAATAATACATATCTTTTTTCAGGTATGTTGGAGTCTTCTTTCCATGTAAAAGCAGTTATTGACAGCTCTTCCTTTACAATCAACAATGTTGCTTATTTCAGACTTAAAAGTTTTAATATTTTGCATTTCAAAAATTTTTTAGATAATAAAACAGGAATATTTCTCTTTGGAAAGTTCAGTAACATTTCCTTCAGTCCACAGCTTGTTTATATGCAACATTTAAAAAGAAGAATAAAAGTAGCAGACAATATTTCTCATTTCAGATAATTAGCTGTTGTTAGAAATTTTTATTCTAAAACATTTACTTTTTAAAAAATTCTTTATTGGAATCATTCTAAAAATGTTTTAACACCCTCTGCAGTTCTACATTAAGAAAGCTTTAAATACATACCTCGACTAGCAACATCTGTAGCAATGAGAAGTCTTGATCTATTAGATTTAAATTTGGAAATAGAAGCTAATCTTTCCCATTGCTTCATATTTGAATTTAGAGCAACATTTTCAAACCCAAGATTTTTTAATGCAACAGATACTAGTTGGCACCATCTGCAAGACAGTAAAATATAAATTAAAATTACAAAATGCCTACTAGTATAACAGTACATAATAACTAATTTTAAATATTATTTCACTAAAAAATATAAATTTGTACATAAAAATAGCATTGCTTGTAGGACAACCTCACAGAACTGGTTATAAATATATTTAAATTTAATTTTTGTTTTTAAAATCACTACACTGTTTATGAATTACTAGCAAGTGTCTCACATACTGATCTAAGACGTAACATAAAACTTCACTTTGCAATTTTAAAGCAAATTTACTTAACATCTGTAACCAGTTTTACATTATTATGCTTCTCATTTTAGGACTGTTATAAGTTTCAAAAGGGATACTGCAAATGCACTTTTCGCTCTTTCAAACAGGATGTAACACTCAACTACTTCATGTGACTAGTGCAAAAATAAGAACTATCTGCCTTTATAGAGGATTTTCTAAGATTGAATTATCTACATTTAAGTTACACATAGGAAAATTTATAAAACTGTCAATTCAGCTTAATCATTCTGACAGAAATCAAATACTAAATAAAATTAACAAAATTCAGAAGTTTTAACCACTTGACTCCTGGTAGGTCTCTTTTTCATTTTTTAAAATTCCTTTGGGAAATTAAATAAGAAAGTTCAAAAATGGCATTCTGAGTTGACATTTTTTGCAGTCAATATGCTAAAAAAAACTTATCACGGAGAAAAAAATCTAATTTTTTTTAAGGGGGGGGGGTAGCTAAAATTAAACAACAGATTTTGAAATATATCAGTTAACCTTCTAGACTCAGATTCAAAGACTCTTATTTTAGACTTATACGTTGAGATTGCAAACATTTTCCTTCGTTTTCGGAATGAGAAGTTGTTTTCAAACAGCCTTTTGCCAACACCATAAAAGTAGGTTTGCATGGTTGTCAGTTACTGTTTCTGTACTCTTGATTAAGTCACTATACTTGTGACTTTTTAATGTTTTTTTTTTTTTTTTTTTAAAGTTTAAAATTATATATTTCATTACTATCAAATATTTATTGAACTATAAGTAATTTCTTTTTTCTTTTCAGCTAACATAAATGCTGGAAAATAATCTATTTTTAACAATTCTTTTTCTTCCTCTCCCATAAATTATGCATCCTAGAAGTCACATACTGACATTACCAAATTGTGACATGCTAGTAAAATATTAATTTCTTTAAAAATGAAATTATTAAACTTAAATTATTTTAAATTATGGTGCTTTTTCTTAAAGATGCTAAGACCTACGTTGTTCTATAACTCTATACATCATTGAAATGACAGCGTCTATTTTAAAGGCAACAATACCATTCCCCAACAGCTAAAAAGATTACTAATATTTTCAATAATTCTAGACTTTCCTTAAACTGAAGTGCTTTTTTCATTTGAATAATTACACACATTAGTTCTCAGATATATATCTATCACATCGTATAACGAAACCATTTAAAATTGTTTCAAAGCTTTTTGATTAAAATTTCCACCTTCTCCTATATACATGTGTATACCAAAATACTCAGCACAACATTTCCCAAACTTTTTTACTCAGGAGAACTTTTTAGAATAAATTGTAATGATGGAGCTCCTTGGGCCGACTTTGTGTTTTACATAGTGTCTAGAAGTAATATTAAGGTGCAGGAAGAGGGGATAGATAGTAGAGAAATGTAAACAGATATCTAAATAACTGTGCAATATCCATGCAACGAAATTATTTTAAAACTTTGAAATTCAATATTCCACTTTATTCTCAACTACCACCAACTCATATTGTCATCAAAATTCTTCCACATAGAAAAATTATTTCACAGTTCAATAAATCAAACTAGTTACTTTACAACAGATTATTGGTGACAGCAACAATAAAAAAAGTTCATATAATAGACACAACTCCTTCAGATTAATCATTACATCCAATTCAATTTTAAATGCATATTCATTCATTATATGTTATACAAAATTTTTAATATTAAATACAGAGCACAATTTAAATTAATTTCTCTAATTATAGTGCAACAACAGGTCTAAATTAAGACATAATATAAAATAGCATATAAATGTTTAATGAGACACATATGATAGCATTTTCTGGTGCAGTTTTTGAATTTGAAGTTCAAATGATAATTACAGGCAAATGCCAGTTTCTGCATTTGGGGGGGGGTTGTATTTTGTTTTGGTATTTGCAATAGCTGGTGAGCCCCACTTAACAAAGTTATGCAGTTGAGAAATGCAGGAATACTAATTTTGATTTCTCAATCAAGATTTTAAATTCATCTCGCAAATGCAGCCAGAACTTCCCTTCTGGAGAAAAAAAAAAAAAAAAACAGTTTGCTGGGCCATTACAAATTATACCAAAAGGACTACATTCTGCTGTGTTTAAACTAGACGATTTTTTTGTTCAGGCTGAACACATTCAGAGCCCATCTAAAATAATCAAGCACCTTTTCTTGAATTGTTAAATAATGTTCAACGAATTCTTTCAAATCTTTGAGATGCATCTGAATTTTCTTTTGTATTTTATCTTGAACCTGGATGTTATTTTCACTGAAAAAACTTTTGCATGTTTTTTTGGGTGAGGGATGCAGGAAGGAAGCAATCTAAACAGTAGGTAAGTTTCCTCTGTATAACAAAACGCTTTGGTATTTGCATAAAAAATCATGGCACCTTTTTTTCTTTGCAATAATAGAGTCATTTGCTAAAAATGTTGGCAAAATATGTCAATTTATATAGCCCAATTTCATCATTTAAAATTGTTGGCAGTGGAAGGTTATTTCTTCAAAAATCCTGTTTATTTCCACATAGTTCCATCAAATGTGTCAGCACATTTTCTTGAGACTTTTTTATACAGTGCTGTGTACATATGGGTTTGTAACGGATTAAATACACACAGAACTGATAATAGCCTGATAAAATTTATTTTACCAAAAGAAACACTACAGTTTTGGAACTTGACATAAGAATATTCATACAGCTCTTCTCAGTATCACAGAGTACAACCAGTAGTTGCACTTCAAGCTACTAAGAGCATTAAACATAACATATTGCAAAGTTTATCTAAAAGGGGAAGGTTATACAGATATCTCAGTACTTCAAATTCAGCACTGAACTAACAAGTGAGAAATTGATGCTCTCTCCAGTCTTATATAGTTTACCCCCAGTCGTCAAGAAATCTCTACTATCTTTCATTTCTCAATATTACTGGAAGGCATATGAGGGCCAGATATGGTATGTCACCAAATGGTTTCCAAATTTAGGGATTTTTTTAGCGATTAGTCACCAAAACTATTTCCAGCTTGGTGATATCTTGCCAATTTAGCGACACAGCCATTTACTCAATGTTAAATAAATACACCTACACCTGTGATCTTATTTTTACAGCAGAGCTTCTGTCTCTTTCAAATATTTTATGTTACATTACACAAAAAATACTACAATTTCACTAAAATTATTTACATAAATACAAAATTCATAACAATAGTTTATTATTTTTATAGTACCATTCAATTCTATTATATCTAGAGGCAAGTGCATGTCTACCTACCTGCCTATGAAAAATGCAATGACTGCTGCTCCATTTCTTTGTTTTATTTTTAATTTTAGCAATAGCTCCCGCAATTTGACCTATCAATGTCTTTGCACAACCAGCATAATACCTGCATGCACAGTTTTTCCATGTTGTTTTATTTGATGAGAATAATTCGTCTAGAAGATTTTCATACCCTGGGATTAAAAAACAGTTTTTTTAAATGTCTGTGTCATGGGATTGAGGCCCCCACAGTGGTATAAATCTCTCTTTGAGGGATCCTGTGGACAATGTCCGGCCCTCCCGCTTAATACGGAGGTTAATTACAGGTTGTTGTCTTAGCTGCATTAAGTTGTAGGAAGGGTTTACAAATTTGATGATGGTGATACCCTGGGATTATAAATATATATACAGTAGAATTCTAGAAATCCACAAAGCTTGGGACCAGAGGTTGTGCAGATTTTAGGATTTTGCGTATTTCAGGACAGAAAAGATAAATCATAATATTCAGACTAAAAGTGTAAAATAAACAAGACATATTAGATACATTTAATTAAATTATTATATACATTATTGCAATAACTCGTTATATGCATTAAATTATTATTACTGTAATTTCTGAAAGAAACGCTGCGGCTAAAAAAACTGTTTAAAGTGTTTAAAACTTAAATTTTCAGCGGGTGCGGCGTTTCAGTGCACTAAAAATAAAATATCTCCTACGACGGTTATCGTACATAGTTTGAATAACTTTGTCATTG